GATTCTTTTATGATGGCACTTCTTTTGTAACAATCAATATGTTAGGAATTGGATAACTTTAATTTTGTAAATCTTGTTGTAATATTGGGAATGCCATATTCTTTTTTTATTTAGATTTTGTATTAACTTTATGTGAGGTTTAGTTTTCATATAAACTATAATGTGTCACATGCTTTTAGTACTCGAATGATCTTTCTTTCAAGATTGTCTTCCTTTTGTTATACACACTTATATTTCCTTATTCATAAGCTTATTAAATCAACTAAAATTTTATTTTATTTTATCATTAAAATCATGAGATGTATATGGCAAAACTATTAGGATTATTAGACTTTTATATACTCTTGTGATATTTCATTGATGCCTTAACATTTTAAGCATAAATGGTTACTCGAACAATAAAGACAATGAAACTAATGTATTAAAGTCTCACATTGAGTCTTTATAAAACCAACTCTAAAATATGAGTTTCAAGCATCAATAATCAAATTGAAGCCTTGATAAATGTTCTAGGTGGAAAAATGATCAAGTTGGAGTCTTCTTTAATATGGTTATTGATAATATATTTGTATTGATACCTTTTCTAATATCTCAATTTTTGTAGTATTTAACTATCATAGGATTTGTCACACCTTTAATATTACAAATCAATTAACTCATAAAAAACATATAAGATGTTATTACATATATCCATAAATAACTTATAATATCAAAAGATACACAAGATCCTATACAACTACGAGATATTACACTGAACCAACTATGAGACACTGAACCAAAGTGTCATAGATCTTCTAAAAACATATGAAACTAAAACACCACTTCCTACTATATGCCTCATCTCCATCTCCTCCTAGCATCTGCTCATCAGAGACATCCCTTAAGCTCACACCATTAAGGTAATCATTGCAAAATAGAAGAAACAAAATAGACAAACATGTTAGGAACAAGATAGTAAAAGAGGAGAGAGACAAATAAACGACATAAGAATTTAACGTGGTTTAACATACAAATGTCTACATCCACGACTACATTAGGAAATATATTTATTTTTTGTATATGTTTCAAGCTTTACAGAGGATTGCTTATATAGGTTAATAAAGAACAACATCTCAGTATCTAGCAATGTAGAACCAAATTAAGCTCAGCAATACTAACAATTCTCCATCATTTATCAGGTTTATGATAAAGTGATACTTCAATTCAATGTGCTTGCATCTAGAATGAAGAACTAGATTTTTAGCAAGATATATAGCACTTTGACTGTCACTGAATAATGGAGGGTCATCTTGTTATTTTCCTAATTCTTTTAGAAGGTTCTCTAGTCATATCATCTTATTCGCTACTTCTTTCCTTTCAGTAGTTTGGTTAAAGACCGTGTTTTATTCTTCTAAAGAGACTTTATCTCATTTTTCATTGCTAGCTCCCACTTAACATATCTATCTCCCTACATAGCCTCAGCAAAATGCTCTAGCTCACCAGCATCAGTCAATAACAAGTAGTGTAATGAAGCAGAATACATTTGTAGTGCTACAATTGTTTTGCTAAATCTTCTAAACATGACTTCAATAGTTTTTTACTCTACTATGTGTTCTAGTTCTGACTCATGCTCTACCTTTGTATTTTGTCTTCTGTTGATTATATCACTCTCTGAAATTTCTTCTAATGATACTTGCTCTGACTCTGCATTTACCAATCATTTTGTCTTCTAATCATTTTGCCTTAGAGTCCAGTTTATCTCTACTATTAAAGTCCAATGAAATATATGAAGCATAACCAAAGACTTTTAAGTGGGAAAGACTTATCTCATTTTCAGACTACATCACTTCAAGTAACTTATAATCTAAAAGAATTGATGGTCCTCTATTTATAAGATAGGTTGTTGTGTTTATAGCATCTACCCAAAATATCTTGGATATTCTTGACTGCATTTTCATACATCTTGCTCTCTCATTCGAGGTTTTGTTCATTCTTTCTGCCACATCGTTTTGTTTTGGTGTTCCTAGAACTGTTTTGACCATTATGATCTCGTTATCTGAACAAAAATTATTGAATTTACTCTTGTCATATTCTCCATCATTATCAGACTTCAAACATTTAACCTTTAAACTTGTTTGAGTCTCAACCTCTTTTTCCCACCTTTTAAACACAAAATATACATCAGATTTATTCTTAAGAAAGTAGACTCGTACCTTTCTTGTAGAATCATCAATGAAGGTTACACAATATTGGGAACCGCCAAGGGATTTTACTAGAGTTGGCCCCCAAACATCTGTATGCACTAATTATAGTCTTTCAACTTTAGACGTATTGCCTGTTTTGGAGAAGCTAACTTTTTTCTACTTTCCAAAAATATCATGTTCACAAGGCCCAACGTCAACATGCTTCAAGTTAGGTATTTTACCTTTTGAGATCATGAGTTTCATTCCTTTCTCACTGATATGCCCAAACCTTTGATGCCACAAAGAGGAACTGTTGTCAACTTCTATAACTGATATCATATCCTCATCTACAATCATGTAAAGAGATCCTTGCTTCTTTCCACGAGCAACAACAATATTTCCCTTAATTACCTTCCAATGTCCATCTCCAAAAGTGGTGTAATGCTCCTCATCATCCAATGTCCTATAGATATTAAGTTTCTTTTTAAGGCAAGATTATGTTTGACATATTCAAAGTTCACACACTTTTATTAGAGATTTTGATATTAATATCACATCTTCCCATAATATCAAGAGATTTTCATCTGCAAGCTAAAGTTTCCCAAACTTTCCAGAAACACAGTTAGATAATAGTTTTAAGGAAGGTATAGTATGAAATGATGCACCTGAGTCCATAATATATGAGTCAATGGAACTGTCTAAACTACATAATAGTGCATTTGTAATTTCATTTGTTGTTGCATTTGTTAATTGATCATCATCTTGCTTATTTTTGTTGTTCTTCTTCTTTGAGGCCCAACATTGATTTGTAAAGGAACCCCTTTTATGACAATTCCAACAAGTGATATCATTTCGTTCTTTTGTTTGTGATCTCCCTCTAGACTTTGATTTGCCTTGGCCTTAATTACGACTTTTTTTTTCTATTTCTTCCTCTATTTTCAACATTAAATTTTGAACCAGAATTAGAACCGGATATTCCATTAAACTTCTCCAGCAAACATCTTCGCTTAAGATTAAGTCACAATGTTATTAAACTTCAACTTGTTGTTGTTGGCATAATTACTAACTTGTTGTTGGCATAATTACTAACTGCAGTAATGTATAGATGTGAAAAAGTAAAGTAATGCAATAGTAAAAATGTAAAGTTCAATAATCAAATTCCTTAGTATACTAAATCAACCCACAATCCACAAAAGGCCTTTAAAATGTATTATAGCTTTTTAGAAATATTTGCTTTGGAAGATTTAATATTAATTTTCTTTTGCCTACCTGAACCATGCTTCCTTATAGTTTGAACTGATTCATCATCCTCATGAAAATTAGAATATTCCTTCTCATCAAGCATATTAGCTTATTTAGAGATTATTTTCAATTCCTCCATAAAATGAGATTCCTTATACATCAAAAAAATAGAAATTGTCTCAAAATTACAATAAGGTAAATATTAATGTTATAAACTTTGCAAACTATCTAGAGTAGGAGTAACATCCTCCAAATAAAACATATTAGCTAAGGAATCAAAATCAATTGGCACACCCCCACAGGATGCACTACATGGTCCACTACAAAGTCCACCATAGATCCACCACGGGCACCGTAAACTCTACCACAAACTCAACCATAGGCTCCATCTCAGGTTCCACATAGATTCCACCACGAGTTCCAAAACAAGTTTCACAATAGCTCCAAAACCGACTCTACAATAGGCTTCAGAGCAAGTTACACTACAACCTCTAGAGGCTTTAAAATCGAACCTAAAAAGTCGTTATTCCCATCCTGGACACCAACCACCTTACAAAAATAAAGTCGTTGTATTATTACACTAACTTTTGTCTTTCCATCAGAATTATATTGGTATCTTGTTGTATGGACCTACTACAATTAGATAGATAATGATCAATCATTTTATAATTTAAAACAAAGAGCAATTTTTCATACCCTACATCAACCATAAAAGTAAATCCTAACTTTTTCCTCAAAAAAATTTTAGATTATGTAATCTATAGATCTGTATTTAAGATTAATCCAAAATATATTTTTACATTTCAAAATCCAAAAATGCACATGAAAATATTTTCCAAATTACTTAATTCAAAATATATTTCTAACTTACAAATTTTGAAAATGTATTCTATATTATATAATTTAATTATAATTAATTAAAAAAATCCATAAATATATTACATGATATGAATATATTTCTAAATTACATAATATAAAAATTTATAAATATATCTTAAATTATACAGAATGTATCTTTGGATGTAAAAATACAGACAATATTTTAAACACTTCCAACACAGTCATACAAAATTTCAACATAGTTGTACGAAGTTGATTTTTATAAGAGCTTTATAGTTGATTTTAAACTATGTATATTATATTTGTTAATGAATTTTATTTGCTATTGTTGATTTTAAACATAGTAAACTATATTTATTAGTTTCTATATATACTTTATTTCTTCTGTATGTTATCACTTGCCATAATTTTTAATAATTTCAACTAGTTCAACTCATTAAACTCGAGGTTAAATCTTTAAACTTTGTTTCCTCCCTTCGATGTGGGGCTCAGCTCCAGGTATATTAACAAGACAAACACGTTTACAACAGTAACACAGACTTTTTCTGTTCTGTTCTCTGCTCAAACCAACATTTTTCTGAGTCCCTATGCAAACATTTGGTCCTGGGAGAAGAAACACGAGACACTAAATAGTATTATTTATTCATAAACTGGTATCAGTAACTATGTAAAGGAAAGAGTGCCCAAGAAAGAGTACTTATGATAACACCACACCAAATGGGTCCATCATTCCACCCCTTTCTTAATTACATCAAAATAAAAAACATCTCTTATATTTTTGTCTAGCTCATTCTCAGCTTTTAATCTCATATCACACTCACTCTGTCTAGCTCTAGCAAATAAAACCCATTGCTCCTCTTCCAAAACAACCTCATCCATCTCCTTCCACCTCTAAAAATCTGCAGCATGGCCTTGTTTGCTTTTGCAGCAGTGCTTCTTTTGGCCTTCACCAGCTCTTCAAGTAAGCATTTCTGAGTTGTTTTCATCTGTACCAACAAGGCCTCTTTTCTTCATGTTATGTTCTTCCTTTTTGATTTACATCTCTATGTCACAACATTTTTATCATTTCTAAGTACACAACAACATAGCTACCATGATGAGTGTATGCAGAGTGTGTGTCATATCTCCGCAACTGTTGAAATATGATCAAACACATGCTTTCTTGATGTGTGTGTGTTTGTAGTTTCTTTTTTGGCTTAAAGTTTTTGTGTGGAATGTGATAGGTGCCACTTGGTGCGTTTGCAAGGAGGGAAGTGATACCATACTGCAGAAAACCTTAGACTATGCGTGTGGAGCTGGGGCTGATTGTAACCCTTTGCACCAAAATGGCCCTTGTTTTCAACCAAACACTGTTAGAGCTCACTGTAACTATGCAGTTAACAGCTATTTCCAAAGGAAGGGTCAAGCTCAAGGTTCTTGTGACTTTGCAGGAACTGCCACTGTTACTGCATCAGATCCCAGTAAATCCTCCACACCACTGTTTTAATCCTCTTTCTTGATCAGAGGAATTTCATGATATCCTTCAAAATTAAGGATTTGGGTATTTTCATTAAGTTACCATTTTACTAAAAAAATGGTTTTTTTCAGGTGCAAATTTTGGACTTCTTAAACCCACTTGGATTTTCTGTGATTTTTCTGTGTTGTCAACATCAGTTCATTTAACATATGCCCTAATATTAATATCTTTGGTGTTTGAAAGATTACTAATAATTTGGATAATTTTTTACTTGGGATTTAGCTATATTAAAAAAATAAAATAAACACCCTTTTTAAGTTATGTGTTTTTGTGAAAGTCTCAAATGGTCCTTCACAAATCCATTGTGTTACCAACTAGGTCACAGTCATTGAATTAAGGATTCTAGCACTGTTATTTAGAATCTCTTTCTCTTTAGAGTACTCACTTATATTCATTCAACTAACTACCTCAAAATTCTTAGATTCTCAAGGCTATCATGACAACTCAAAATTTGTGTCTTTTTTTTTATGAACAGGCAGTGCAGGATGTTCCTACCCTGCTAGCTCCATGTATGCATATTGAACCATTCTGTTTTTCATCTTCTGTTACCTTTAGTTTGGAATTTGATTCTTCAAAACCTTTAAACAACTTTACAAATTTGCTCCTCAACAAGCTCTGGTTTAGTTTTTGTTTTCTTTTGCCTAAAGTTTGGTGTGGTAATTGGTATGTTGTATTGTATATAGTATACACATTTAGTAGCATAGTGGCTAGTGACTTTATATGGTAGCTAACTTTACTTTTCTCATAATAATGGAGAATGAGAGCTATGCTTACATTAAAATTATCCATTCCCCACAAAAGGTTTTCTTTTGAGAAAGTGGGGAAGAGGATGCATTATTCATTTGTTTTCTCATACATTGATCAGTGCCTAATCATGTAATTGGATTTTCTGAACCATTCATATGAAAGGGTTCTCTGCTGTTACCTTTCTTCACAGCAGACATTTTAATTCAAAGAAATAATGAATGAAATGCTAAAATTTTTAAACGTGAGTTTAAATCTTAAATCGGATAAAAATAAAAAGTAGAAAATCATATCAAAACGAGGATGTATTAATTTATTATCTTAAAATTTTGAGTAGAAAATGGTATTAATATCTTATGTGTGGTCCAAGCGAGAAAATATTAGCTTGTTTTGAAAAATCCGAAGTTTTTAAAATAACCCCTTTGTTTTTGTTTATATATTATTGTATATTATTAAGAAAATTATTCAATGGCAGCTTTATTGTGTGTGTGTTTGAAGTTGGGTTTGTTGTGCATTTATAATTCAGTGTTAATGTATTTTTAAATATATCTTACTTAGCCAAGCTAGTACTTAATAACATGATGTTTTATGAATTTTATTTGCATACTAAGTAAATATGTGATAAAGTTCACCTAAAATATTTTATGTGAGGAGCAAAAACCTAATCTGTTTCAAGTTGAAAAAGCAAAATATCTTATTCGGAAACTCGTCTTTTCCCTACACCAAAAAAGTAAAAAAAATAAATCTTTATTACTTTCTCAATCAAAATGTGAGTGGAGGATTTCAGTATTCAAATAAAGTGGTTGTGATGATATTTAAATTCGAATGGAGGATCATAATGTTATCATTTTATGAAAAGGATTTACGCTATTATTACTTTTTAAAATAATAATACATGAAAAAGACACCCTCACTTATTTTTCTATAAAATAATTATGGAATTATGGTTGTATTTTCTTGTTAAAACTGAATTTTACTTTTGTAATTCGTGTATTTTCTTTTGCTTTTTTTATTTTATGTTTCCTTTAAAGTCATAGGTACAATTAAATGTTTATTATTACTTTTTCTTTATGTATATGTTTTTTAAGGCTAGGACCTTCATGAATAACGTTGCTTTTTCCTAGGCTAAGTCCAAATCTATTATTACTTTTATTTATTTTGGGTGGTCCCAAAGTCTTTTCTCATTTGACCATTCTGCATGATGATGATGCAGGTTCATTCATTGCTCATTTATATGCTACCAGAGTGATTTTAATACATACCCATTTTAAAATATTTTATTTATATTAAATAAAATTTTAAGTAACTCTTAAGTTAAATGGTTTTCTGGCATTAAGTTTGTTGTATAAAATACTTATCAATAAAAAAATGCAATGAGAACTTTTAAAAACACACTACCTACCTTTCTTCATGCAATAAAAATAGGTAATTGCATAGCAGTGGACTGCTAACTTTAATCACTACTATAGTTACTTTAAACAATCTATAGTTACTGAAATAGCTGAGATTCAATAATTTTCAATTGTTTAATAAAAGAAAGGTTTAAATATTAGTTTTGTCTCTCTTTTTTATCGAATTTATTTAATATGATATTTTTTATTTAATATAATTTTAACCTTCATTGAATTTAGATAATTTAATATTTTTTCATAATAATATTTAAATTATTAATCGATGTTAACAATATATAATATATATTTCTTTTTAATTAACAAAATGTTTACATGTCAAATTAATATTGTATCATGTTATTAATAACAACATGATCACATAATATAATATTAATTTTGATACATGAATATTTTTTAATTTGAAAAGATTTAAAAATTAAAAACATGATATGTGTTATATGATTTATATTTATTAACAATTTAAATTTTATAAAAAATAAAAATGATCAAATTGACAAAAGTTATAATTTTATTAATGGATCTTTCCAAATATGCTAATTCACTGTTTTTCTTAATGGATCCTTTAAGAAAAACTATAGATTAATGTTGTTCTTTAAGGTGGTTATTATCTAACAAATAGTGGGATGTAGTTATATATTGGTTTGAGTATTAAATTATTTTTTAATAGGGTTTCTAACATTCTTTTTGTTGAGAATCACACCATAGCTAAATAGGTAAATAAGACATTTAAGTGGTTCAACACCAAGGTCTATCATTAACATGCAGTATTATTATTTAACATTTATTTTTTATTATAACTGTAAATCTTTTTATAATTTTCTTGCTGACAAAAATTTTAAAAATTTGCATCTATTTTTTTCTTTATAAAAACCACATTTTTTCTGGCAAAAACTAGTACCACTAAGAATCAACACAATTTTAACATTTTTTTTAAGTTACAACTTCTTTTTTGTACATTTCATTATTACTAACTGTATTTTCTATATCACGTTGTTATTATTAATGGGCAGTACTGCATCATCTTTGTTGTATCTTCATTTTTTACGAGAGAAAGAAAACTTGTTTCGAAAAAAAAAATCTTTTGAAAATTCTCTTTCTCGCATTTTATATTTTTCGAAAATTCATTTCGAAAAATTTGTTTTGAAAGATATCATATATATATATATATATATATATATACTAAAATTTCTGAAAATCCTATTTATATTCTGAAAATTTCAAAACTTTGTGCCAAAAGATTCCTATAATAGATAATTTGAATGTCAGTTTTGGAGGGTTGAGGAAAAAAAAGCATGATTTTATGATACTTGGATCAGTATCATATTCTGATATTAATTTTCTTTTTATTTGTACTTAAATATTACGTTATAAAGATATATTAGTTCTTATGATAAAGGAATACGTTGAGGGATACAAAAAGATATAGATACATTTTACAAATAAGATAAGAAAATCAATAATAAAAGATTAATTACCTTAAAATGTACATAAATGATTTACATTTTTCACGAGATATTCAAAGTAAAATTAAATTATGAGCCTAAACTTATTTAAGCATTTGCTAAATTAATACTTCTTTGTGTTTTCTATAAAAATTACTACTCTTTGTAAAAGTTACTTCTAGCACAATACAGATATATCATGTGATAAACATTCTTAAAAGGAGAATTACACTTAAAAATGGTACAATATATGTCAATCCATAAATTAACCACAACTTAATTATTTCACGAAAGGTTATACAGCAAAAAGAAAAAAGAAGAAAAGGCTAACATTATTGCAAAGAAAATATGAAATATTTACAGGAAACAAATTAGAGTAAAAAGAGAGAGAAAGTGATATGATAAGATAATGATATTTTGACAACATTTTTTTTCACAACATTTTAACATCATTTACGTGTCATTCTTTAATTGGTTCATGTTAGTGTTTATGATTATTATTATTGATTGTGAAATAATTTTGGACCAATCATACAATGACATGTAGACGATGTTAAATTGTTGTAAAAAAAATGTTGTCAAATTATCATTATCCGATATGGTATCAACATTGTCAATATTAAATATTAGTTTCACTTTTTATTTTATTTTATTTTAATTATTATCCATGTATGTGTTGTGCGTGTAGTCCCTCATATTTTTCTTTTTCTAATAACTTTACTCCTTATGCATTATCCTTTTGTAAACTAATCAAAGTGTTGGTGGGAAAGAGATTAATATTTGTTCCACTTTTAAGCATAACTTCCTGTTAGTGATGTATTTATATAGCTGCTAATAGTAATTTTTTCACACCAAAATTTTAGGTAGTTATATTATTTTAAAAACTAACTAGGCTCGTTTTAGGGATAAAAATAGGTAGGATATAGGGCACTATCCTATTGACTGAACAATCTATAATAAAAAATATCTGCGAAATTTTAAAATCTGAACATGTGAATACTATAAATATTTAAAAGATATATATTTTATATATTTTAAAATAAAATTAAAAAATATATAAAATAAAGTATAAATTGAATTAAAATAGAAATTAAAAGTTTAAATTAATTAAATTTAACTTAACAAAATATAATTTAATTTTAATTAAGTAAAATAATTTTTTTTAAATTTTTTTTGTAAATAATATATTTATCACACCAAACTTATTAAAAGTAAATATTAAAATATAGATTATTACGAGTAATAAATATTTATAAATATTAATTATCCATCAATAAATCTATCCGTAGATATTATTTTTGTATTTATATTATCTTTTTATATACGTTAAGATTAGATAAAATCACTGTCATCAATCACTAATTTAAGGAATTTTTTATTTAAAAGTTTAAAATATTTATATTTTATTGTTAAAGATGTATAAAAATATGAGTTATATAATTATTTGTAAATAATTGTAAAAACTATTAAATATATGAATATAGAATGCATATTAAATTTGAATAAGTTTTACATGAAAAAATACATACTTTTTTTTTCACAAACAACCAAATCTATAATGGATATTACAATATCTGTCTAAATAAAATTACTAAGGACAATAATAAAATAAATAGTTATTAATAATAATATTTGAATAACCGTTTTGGTAAATAGCAGTGCAGTAACAGGAACAGGAACAAGCAGTGGGACAAGCACACCTTCGTCTCCGTACAGTTCAACAGGAGGAGGAGTGGGAGATGACAGTGATGGTGGCCTTACGAACACTGCTTTCTTCGTTTCCTTCTTTTCAGGCTTCATCATCATTCTGTTCTGGTGCTGCTGAAAACTCTCTTCTTCTCTCTGCATCACTCTCTCACCATGTTATTATCATGGACAAATATCTGATGCTGTATTTTACTGTGCATAAATCACTCTGTGTGCATTTCTTCTCTTCTTCTACCTCTTCAATTCGTTTCCTATTTTCTCCTAACATCTACTTCATCAAGGGAAGGCTTTTGCTTCTTTTCCAACAACTAGTGCCAGTGCTGGGGATTTCCTTCACACCCAAGCTTATCCTTTATTAAAAATTTGCACCTTCTCATTTTCAAATTCACTTTATGATATCATTAAAGTGAATTTGGTATTTCAGATATATAATATAAAATGAAATTTCTATTTTTTATTTTTTTTCTAAATTTGTATTACAAGTTGAATAATTTAAAATGTAAATTACATTTTAAATTGTATGATCTG